GAGATCGTTCAATGGAAGAAAGAGCGGACGCGTTGAGATATAACTCCCCAGGTGAGGTACGAACCTGATCAACGCAGCTCCCGTTTCGTACCGGGGAACAAGAGCTGCGGACTAGTTTTCCGATTCCTCTTCAACAACCTCAACGGTTGCTTCGGGGGTTTCTTCAACCTCGGCAGCACGGCCCTTCGATTCTCGGGCCTTTCGCTTGTTGCAGTCAGCAATCTGATGCTTACCACCGCAGAAGAGACAAAGGTTGTTCTTCATCCTTCTTTCCTTCTCGGAGGGAAGGACTTTCCCATCTGCACCAAGATGGTTGAACGCGGGGCGCTGACCGCCGGATTGGCCGGAATTCGAAGAATTCTGGGGCTTACCATTGTTGTTAGGCTTACCACCAGAGAAGGGTTTGGGCTTCGGCGTGAACGGCGCCGAAGAACCAGAAGGCTGAGAGTTGTTTTGCTGGTTAGTAGAACCAGTCTTAAAGTCCGAGGAACCCTTCTTCGGGTTCCGAGCAACAAAAGGCTTACCAGCCTCACGCTTTCTAGTTTCCTCGCGTTTCCAATAACGATTGTCAATACGAAGAACTTCTTGACGATAATCGGCAAGCGTCGCCGGCTCGGGCAAACGCGCCATTTCGTCCTTGATGCGCTCAGCTAAGCCTCGTCCATAGGCCCATTTTAGGGCAGCAGAATCCCAGTTGGTACTAGCAGCCAGGGTGTTGAACCGGATGTTGTATTTCCGGATGTTCTCGGTTTCCTTCATCTTCAGATTACCGAGAGAATCTTCGGCCTCGCCTTGGGCGTCGTAAACGCCGAAATTATCCTGAAGCTCCTTTACAAGGGCTTTGAAGGAGGATGTCCAGGCCGGCAGCGAGTCGAGATCCGGGTCGAGGATATCAGGGACAAACCATTCTTTGGCTGACCCACTGAGATAGGAAAGGGTGTAGTTCACCTTCCGTTGGTCGGTGAAGTACTTTGGACGGTCATTGAAGACCAGGGCGAGATTGACGAAGAACGTCTTGAGTTTACGGGGATCCGAACCGTCGAATACCTCTGGCTCCTTGACCTTGCTCTTAGATTCAGAGCCGTCAGAGGGACGGCCGAGTGCGGCGAGAACGGTACCGAGGGTTTCAATGGAACCCTTGAATCCCGAGAGAAGATCCAACATAGCTCGTTGCTCGTTGGGGATGTCAGGAGAATTAGGAGAACGAGGACCACCAGGTCCACCAGGACCACCAGGTCCGCCGGGACCGCCGGGACCGTCAGGCCCACTGGGGTCACCAGGCTCACCACGCGGTAAACCGCCGGAGTCGTCATTCAGATCGTCATTGTTGTTGTCGGCACCCGGATCGTCGGGATCGACAGGAGGGTCTTGATCATCGTGATCACCAGTGTCCAAATCGAAGTGAGGAGGTGGGTCACGAGGAGATTCAGAAGCAGCGCGACGTTGGGGTTGTTTACCCGTACGGCGGGCTATGGCTTGGAGGATTGGGGAATCAATTCGAGTAGTAGACCGGCCCCGAGCCGGAGCGACCACGGGGGGTTGTCCACGGCGAGGAGTCAGGACTTGGACAGGTTGTCCGTCACCAGTATACAAGGTGCTGTACTCAAATTGTTGTTCTTCTTCCATGGCTTCAGGAAGAGTCGACGTAGTAGGAACTGTGGCTGGACCGAAACCGCGATTACGGCGACGTGGTTGACCGATGGCAGAGATAGAGTCGGAGAATGGGGCAAATGATTGGGCTGTAGTGAAGAAAGTATTTTCTTCGGAGTTAGCTCTAGATTGAGCTCGAGTTTTCGGAGGCATAAAAAATGATATGTCAGTACGACGTTAACGGATTGAGTTTAATTATACTGTTAAGATCATGTACACCGTGTAACCGTGCCAAAGCTACAAGGTGCCTAAGTGCGGAAGACGAGTGGGACAGTAGTGAAGTTATTAACAACACCGCCGTTACGCCGTTAGTCCCCGGAGAGCAAGAGTAGAGAGAGAGGAGCTAAGTAGCAGCCAGGTCGGAGCGGCGGTATCGCCGGTGACGAGGAGCGAACCAGAGAACGTTTAAAGTCCTAAGGTCGAGGAGAACGTACTTCAAGGCGTTGAGCCTGAAGACTTAGAGAAGAGTTAAGTTGAGAAGGGAGATCTAAGTTGATAATTAAACTGAGGAACTACAGTAGCGTACAGGCAGTATTTATATCTACGGAACGGCGCATCGGTGCGGAGCGCTAGACTAACTACTAGGAGCTATACGAGTAGTACCTGCAGGGTAGAGTAAAAGACAATAAGGAGAGACTAGAACGAAAGAGTAAAAGACAATAATGAGAGACTAGTACGAAAGGATATGTGTAGCGAGAAAGAACAATAGGAAGAGATTACAATAGGAGCAGATCTTCGGAGTACCGAGCGGCGGAATGGAGGCCCGCGGCATGGACTTGACAGTATCAAGTAACTTCTTGGACCCCAGCATATCATATATCAGCACTAGTACTTAGTCTCAAGCCGGTAAGCTATCCTGACCTAAAGACTTGCAGAGACGCCCACCAGACGCCTGTAACGTGATCGTGTTGCAAGTGCTGTGAGCGTTTGATCTGACCTTCATTGACTGCTTCTACTAAGTGCTAAAATTTTCTCTCTTGTCGAGTTGGGTGGTGCTCAAAATACCGGTGAGAAGATGTAATCCATCTTGCTTCCATCAACTGACCTCCTACAACAATCAATGTAGGATATATCCTTTCGACCCCCATCCGTCTCATCATTATTCTCAAATGGACAAACATTCAAGCGTGGTCCTTCTCCGGACGATCGTTCGGCTCAGAGCTTGCAAGGATTATGATTGGAATCACCTACATCACGGTTCAGCATTGTACCTTCTTTCTCTATCAAAATTATCAAAAGGTTCGTCGCTTTCAATCTGTTTGTCCCTCGCAATCCGACATGTCTATATTCCCCTCAGGCATCAATGGGCTTAGGGTTAGCAGCTGCCAGTACATGGGCGTACCAATCAAAGAAATTTCAGGTGTGCTAAGTTCAATTTGTCGTGACCTTTGTGATAATAACTGTATGTAACCGAGATGGCCCCTTTGAAGTCTCACCATTAATACCCGGACATGCACCACTCGTCTCTTGATGAAAGGTCAGTTTCAATGGGGGCAGATTCAAAAGCCCATGTTCTTCGAGAGCCTATGTTCTGGTGAAAGATATCGGACAACTTGCTTTGTCGAGCTTGACATTGGTGGCACATATCGCACGTATTTATAAAGCCGTAGGCCATTGGCTTTTTTTCGTCGCATTCATCGAAACTTGCTCTGCTTTATCTACAACTTTGGCTGTTTTTTCATTGCATTCACCGAACTTTGCTCTGCTTTCCCTACGCTACTTGTGTTGACATATCTCTCAGCCCCTTTCATCGTCAGCCTCTTTCGTCGTCAGCCTCTTTTGTTGTCAGCCTCTTTCGTCGTGATGTATGAATCATTCCATACTACTGAAATAGCACTGCGATCTAATATCTCTAGTACAGTCATTGCCATCATGATGTGTGAACCATCCCATAACAAAGCACTACAATGGATATTGTCCTCGATTCCTGCTCTTAATATTGACATGGTCAACAGCCCAGTAAGTGAAACATCTTACAAGATAGTGATTATTCACATAGTTTACAGAGAACGGTTTTACATGTCACCTTTATTGTACAAGTATTGGCAAACAGCGACGAGTTGTTGAGCGGAACAAATGGCGAGCCACCTCTTGATCCAGATGAAGTCATGGATGATGTAGATAATATCATGGATGTGGACAAGGACGACTATAAGCAGGTTGCAGAGGAGGAGGACAAGATGGATATCGATATTGTATTGGTGAACACCAGTCATTTGACACAAATGGACACATTGGTGGAGCATTTTTCGACAGTTATGTGTCCTGGATATTGGATGGATGATATGTAGATACAATAGAAATGAAGTTTACCTTCTTCGCAGCGGGAGATGTACGGAATCGGCAATTATTTGAAATTAAACCTAAATTTGAGCTTCGACTGTGCATTTGAACCTAGTCCGTCTTAACAAACATTTTTGAGTCTCGATTTCCTCCAAGCATTATGTCTCAGGGAGCAAGGATAAATCAGAAGTTAATATATTGTCATAGGGCAATGGCAGGGAGGAAATACAACGGTGTATCATGTAGGATATTGTAAGCCGAGCAAGTTTGTGTAAGGAAATGACGACCATGATAAACATTAATTGGCTTCGAGCCCACCTACAATTCCAAACTCTACCACAATTGAGAACATCGTCGGCTAGGTAGAAATTGGGACCGTACCTTGAGGCACAAACAGACTGCTGTACCAGGAGAAAGCTCCCACCTTGCCGTATGGGCAAGCACCCAATCGTATTCAACGAATTCAAAATTGGTTGTGAAGATTGACGAGACTATCTTAGCCTGGAATCCCTGGTTCCAAAATGCCTTGAACGGATCTTGTTGACCTTCTGCAAAAACTCTCTGTAAACTTCGTTGTATAGTGAACCTGATTCTACCATTCTCGCAGAATATATGTCGGATTCGACCAGCAACCCATTCGACATCTCTATCTCCGCCAGGAAAGAAGCACACATAGGAGTTGCCTTTTCCACTTGCCTCGAGAATTGCATAATAATCCCCAAAAAGTGTCAGACATCGGTTGAAGCACTGGACGTGAGTGTGAGAATCTGCATCCAGAGCTAGATACAATTCACGAGGAGTGGGCAATCGGAATCGCTTATTCGCAAGATGAGAGCCATACTTCAGGATGTTTTCCACAACTTCCTGTTCAGTTTCAGTTTCAGTGGTATCTATCTCCACCCCCGTTTGGACTCTTGACTTCACCGAACCATAAACCTTCTCAATAAGTTCAGCTAAGTATCTGAGCAAAGGAGGACAATCACTCCGTCGCAGATAGCGGCGAAAGGCAGAGCCAGTAGAAAATGAATGGAGCAAGGTGCTCTCGAATTCGCCTTTGATCATAAATATCAGCGAAATAGTAAGAGAGATAGAAATGAGTTCATACCAATCTTATGGTTGATAGGAATTCTTTTGAGAAAACCTATGAGTCGTTCTCCGGGAAAACACCAGAAGTGGTGGACAACACTGAATAGATCCATGTCATCATAGATATGGAAGGCAAGGTGATGGCTAGGTTGGATAAAACCTGGAAAATTCTTTTTCAGACCTTCAATATGCAAACGGAGATATTCCCGAAAATCTTCTCGATCCTGCAATGACAAAGTGTGCTTGGACATTTTGTTTGCAGCACAGGTGAGGTACATAGAAGTTTGCAAAACTGAAGCCATCGCATCTGCATCTTCGGCGGCAATGGGTGATGCTTCTTGCCAAAGGCTCAAAAGTGCCAACGGGAGGAAAATCGAAAATAAGGTGCGCCAATTATCAGCTTTCGGTGTTCCGCCTCTAGGAAGTCCAATCAAATCGGATGGTTTTGCGATCCATCCTGGAACAATAACTTCACGGACGGCCTGCTGGATACGTTCCAAGACAATAGGAGAATCGACTGGGGTCCAGGATATGGCCTCCTTCGGTTGCGTCAGCCTCTAAAATGAGGATATGAGATTGACTTGGTCTAGTTTATAACTGTACTCACCCAATCCACTAATTGAGAAATGAGGTCTTTCTTTGGTATCGCCTTATGTGAGCTGTGCATAGGAACACGATTGAGATCGAGACACACAAAGAGTAGAGCAATGCGATTCTTGGTCTTGAGAAGATTTGCAAGTTTGACCGTGCCTATTCCGTCGTTGGTAATCGGGTGCCATAGATATTGATGGATGAGACCGATGTGTACAGCAGTCTTGTACGACATGGTGTTTATGAGCTCCTTCATGAGTACCTCTTTCTCTGGATTAGTTAACGTATGACAAGGTATGCCGTTGAAATATGTTATAGCAGGTGGCTGAGCATGTCGGGGAGGTCTATGGTGGGTGGGGGTGAAATAAGGCCAGACAAAGGGTCCATCTTCTTGGACCAGATTCAAGCGCTTTCGAATTCAGAGCAAGTAAGTGTAGCTTTTGCGGTGACATGGAATACACTCACCCAATCAACAAGAGCATCTATCATATCTTCCTTCGTGACCTGCGATTTTTGAACGATATCTATCCTCTGTACGGAAGCTGATTTGAAGGCCAGGAGATCTTCACAAACAAAACGTAAAGTGGACCAATTCATTCTCCCAAGCCTCGAGCGTAATTGCATCAACTCTGATGCCGTGGAAGGACGCAAGTCGGAAAGTAGACTGTGTATATCAGATAATTGGCCCAAAAGACGAGGACTGGAACGGACATCATTTCCGAGAACCATCATTCTCTGATTACGGATACATCGTAAGTCTTCCGATAAATGGTCCCACTCCAGCGCAGTAATCAGAGTGTTCTCATCAATTTCATCCTCGTCATCTGTCTGAATGACAGTATTGGAGCCTAGGAGTTGAAGAGGCGGTGGAGGTGTGAAGGCATAATGATGGGCATAGGTAGAGGATGGCGCTGTAGACTTGTTTTTGGGGTCTTCCTTGCTCTCCGGGTTATTTAAGCGCAAGCCATCTCGAAAGAAGTTTTTCTCTAGTAACTGATATCCGGTGTGCATTGGGTCTGTAGTCACTTGCTTCGAGGGCCGCCAATAAGGAAGACGCCAGAACTGCGAGTAGCGTACACCATACTGCTCCTCTATCGCCATTCGCTCTGCTTTATTTTGGGCATCTCGCCACTTCTCCGCACCTTCTCTCAAGAAATCATCATCTACAGCCTCCCAGTCTTTGTAATTGGTGGAATTGAGGTATGCGCGGTGCCACGTTTTGCAAGTGAAGCAGTAACAATGCGAGCCGACATCGAGTAAACCAGCAAATGGACGAGCAGCTTTAAAGTCCAGAGAAATGAACGCCAGTAGAACGCGGTGGATACGACCATAGGGCATTTCTTGACCACTGGCACTAGCGCAACGTATTCCCCGCGTGTACGCTATGAATAGTTCGTCTATCAACGGTCGGATGTAGTGGTTGTGTTCACCCTCTTTGGAATTAGGCTCATGTGGACCCTGGATTACACCCGCGACATAAACAAATGCTGAATCTTCTCGAAGTTCCAAAGGAAGATTTAGACAAGTCATTGAGATAACACCAGTCGATGAGTGTTTCCCGTTGACTTTATTGCCTTCGATATTGAAAAAGTCAGCATGCAGTTTGAAGAACCACCTGCCCTCTCCCCCTCTCTCTTGGATGAAAAACTTCCCGTCTGGTCCTTTCACTTCGTAATAAAAGCGTCCATCCCCGCTCTCACGCTTCTCTGTTGGTGGACCCTGGTCAGAGAGACGTTCACAGAAAGCATCACCGTATTCTGTGATTCCGGGGAATGCGAGGAAACGCCCAAACCAATCTAAGAAAGAATGGAACTCGAACGTTTTGATGGGTTTATCGTCTTCTAGCAGATTTTCATTGCATGGTTCCGCAAGGTGATAGGCACGATGGGTACAACGCTTCGGATACGTAGGAGTCGACGAAGAGCGAGGAGAAGTTGGAGGGTGAGTGAAACTGCAACTTGGGCAAACTGCAAAAACAGTAGTTTTGATATCCAGGTTGAACTTCTTTTCTAGAACTCGAATATCTTCTGGGATGTCAATAAGCGCTGCCTGTTGCTGTTGGTTGGGACCGCCTTCTTGAAGGAGGGTCAGACTGTACCCAAAGAGTCTGATAGATTTGAGAAGAAGACTAGTGCCTCGGCGACTCATTCTCTCCATGATCCGTCCAACTAACGTCAAGGAATACGCAATGAGGGTCGGTGTGTTTTTGGTAGAAGTGGGATTGTAGGCATGCAAACCTGTTTAATGCCAGTGAGAAAACCCAGTCCCATAGTCCCGTAACTACAAGAACTGCTTACTGTTGTCAATCTGTATTGGGCTACTATCAGGATGCACGGTACGCCAGTTTTGAAGAAATCCTTCCAAACGTCTAGCCACTGCTCTTGTTGCCTCAACCTCGCTTCTGACTTCCTTGCGGCGATACTTGTCAAGTTCAGACGAAATGATGACAACGGCGCGCTCCGCTCTGAAAAGGATCTCTTGAACCACGACAATATCGCAGTCAAGGGGAAGATTGTGAAGTGAGACGAGACGATCCTGCAATTCCACTTTGTGGGTCTGTATACGTCTCAAAGCTTGATGGATTGTGCGATTCTGGGCGGCGGGTGAATCAAACAAATATTGGAGTTCGTAGCTGCCCATAGTCGTGTCGGTGTTCGCAGTCATACAGGTGGAGGTCCTAGTCGTGTCATTGGTCCTAGTCGTGTCATTGGTCATGTTTGTTACCTGTCAATGATGGACAATGATGAGTACCGAGTGTTATGGAGAACCGAGGTCATGTTTACCGCATCTTGAACCAAGGTGACTAAAGGGTCCAAATCCCCTTCGTCAATTGCAGCTGGAGATTGAGCCCCGAACACGACATCACCATTCAACACTGTGCTTGCCATGACCGACAAGTCATAGTCATGATCTGTCCCTGACACACTAGATGTCGAAGGTTCTACCGAAGTCGCAAATATCGACCGCACAAGGGATGTTGGCTCGATTCTGCCCTTGAAAACTTCTGTAAAGGTCCTACTTGTGGACATACCAGAGATAGCAAAAGGTTGGTAGGAAGAGGTTTGCAACGCAGACAATGAAGGTGGAGAGTGGGATGAGGATGATGTTGCGACGGGTGATGATACATGAAGCGAGGAGCCAGGAAGCGTCAAGTTTGTAGAAAGGGATGAATCAGATGTACTCGAGAATGAAGGTTCTGCAAACTGGGTCCGCGTAGGACGTTTGCGATTTGAGTCGAATATGTCGTCAAACGCCTTGCGTTTTCTGTTCATGTTAGTACGAATCAAGATAAATCAGATCAGTGCTTCAGCGCTTATTCCAAATCGAAACTCATTGTCCTCCGCGTACATTTAGGGTTTTCGTTTTCTTCGTCAAATCGCAGGAAGTGCTGAATCTTCATCAATCTCAAGGAACCCATTATCAATATCATCATACGCTAATCTGTACATGCGAAAGGACTCTTTCATTTCTGTAACAAGGCCATTTCCATTATCGAGAAGCCAAGCAACGATGAATCGAAGGACAAAGGGACATGTCCCAAACAACCTCGTGTAAGGCTCTTTGTATATACATATAAAATCAGCTCCTCATGGTTGCATATGTCACACGACAAATCCTTTCCCGTCTTTTTCTCTCTACCAGCTTCACCTCTTGGCTTCTATAATGAGTCCTCGACACGGCCCCCAAAAATCTAAGGCCACTCGTCGTCGAACATCGAATTCCATGTCTCCCATACACCCTATGTCACTCCGGAGCCGAACTAGGGCACGTATACCCGCTAGTACTGCAACATCGGATCTCATTGATGCTACTCCGACCACAACGTCGGATCTCAGTGGCTCTAGTATCACTCCGGTGATCCTGGCGCAACAAACGAAAAGGCTTGAAATACTTAAGAAGGAAGTCGCCTCATTGGAAGAAACAAGACAAGTGAGTTGTATCAATCATAATTGCCGAAGGCTCTGTTGCTGAGATAGAAAAATCGTAGTCACTTGAAAACGAGTTGAAGGAAGAGATGCTTCTGCAAGAAGCGGAATATCAATGTCCTCTTTGTCTTGATCTGGCTTGGTATCCATACGTGTGAGTGCAATGACCAGCTTCCAGAGTGTCAATTATTGAATGACCCTTGTAGTACTGCGTGTGGCCATTGCTTTTGTTCGAGATGCCTCAGCCGATACAAGGCCGAGCACGATCGAAAACGTCTTGAGGACCCTTTTGGCACCAATGTGATCATTGGTTGCCCAACATGCCGAGCTTCTATCTTTCGCAAGCCTCAGCGCTCCCTCATCATTCAACGAGGAATCGAACAAGTTGCTGTAGATCTCCAAGTTGTAGCTCCTCCACGACATTTACTTGAATGGCATTATTAACACGAGTCAGTGTGTGCAATTAACATTCTACTCGAGAGTTATATTAGACTTCTTAGCAATCAAAGCGCATTCGACGCCTAATTAGAGTATAAATGAATATAAATGAATATTGATACATAAGTACGATCTATGAGTCGAAGTCCATCCCAAAACAGCATGCCGCTCTCTGAGAATCACTGATGTTTGTGGCCTGGGTCCAGCAAAGAAAGCTCCAGAGATGACCGTTTGCGCCGAATCTGAAGGAGGTGCTGAGTGGACTTTGGGGATGTCTGATGGAGGGGCGGAGCTCGAAGCGTCGTGCCACTGTTGGCCAGCAGACAGTAGAAGGAGACAGACAATAATGTGTTCACGTATACAAGATAATTGGGTCTGGAGATCATGAGCCTCAATCGATCATGGAAGAATGGGATGCAGGAGAGGGACCCAGCAGAGGTGTGCTTTCATTCTCGTGTGTAGGAAGGTCCACCGTTGATCCCATTTTGATCATAGGAATGACGATGATTTGTCACTACGATTGCATTATTGAGCGCACGATCCCATCGTATTTTCGATTTCCGTGGAGAAACTGTTCGACGCACGTCTGCGGAAGTCAATGACTTCGGTCTGGGCGGATGAGATATAAGAGTTGACGCTTTGGGATATGGTGATCCAACTCGCGTCGAAGTTGGCGTAGGTGAACCTGAGCCAGAAACGGAACCTATTCCTAATGAATCTTTGGGGGTAAAATCCTGCTCAGATGGATGCGAAAACGTGACCGTACGCGTGGAAGAATGAGAGGATTCACGGGATGGCTTCGGAGGAGCTAGTGAGCGAGATGGTTTGACCGGTGAGGAAGGCGATGAATGCAAGAGTAATGACAGGCCAGATTTGAACTGGCTAGAGTGATCGTCAGAAACATCAAGGGCAGGCTCTAGCATCGAGGATTGCGGTCCATCAAAGCCTTGATGCCTGCTTCCACTTGAACGACCCCTCTCATCATTTGATGAAGGCTCGAGACTCGTTTTATTTTCGGAAAGTGTATGATGTCCGTCATATCCACTGAGTTCTGCAGAACGAAGGTTACCTCCGACAACAAGGCTTCTCGGCTCTGTCCGAATAGTTAAATCGAATACATCCAATTTATCTGAAGGAACGTTGAGGGTGTCCAGTCAGAGCGTGTCTGTGTCCAGTCAGAGCGTGTCTGTGATCCATTGCTGGATCTGTATGTAGAAGGAAAGGATGTTGATCGAATGGTAAGCTGAGAATGAGGTACAATGCGAGGTTTTGTTCTTCGGTACGGCAAGTACCTCTGTAATCGCCATGATGGGTGCAATCACATAGATAAAAGAGAGGTAACGCACCCTTTTCAGGCATTTGCACCAAAATCAGTTTCTTGCACTCCTTCGGTTTTCGTTATATGTTACATGAACGTTTCAAAGTTGGGACGCCACCACTGGACGAGACAGTCCCCGATTTCCCAATCATCATTGACGCCATGGACAGGTTGCGAAAATTGACCTGTAGACTACTTCGATGCTGGGACATCGATTTAAGGCGAAGGAGATGCTTACGACTTTCAGGCGGGGGAGCGAGCCGGTCATCCAGGCGGCGCTTTAGACTGTCAATTTCATCTTCGCCAGGTTTGAGATAGTCTCCAGGGCTAGCGGAACAAAAGGTCAGTTATATGTCTGTAATTGCATTGAGCGTAGCGTAGAGGCAATTCTTGTTGGAGATCGGCGGTCACTGAGTTTGAACAGATTGTGTTATTTGGAGGTTCGTCGAGAATTACATTATGTCTTCTATACGCCGTTCAAACCATATTTATTGTACACAATAAACATTAGAGTCGATGAGTCACAGTGCAGCATTTCTTACCCTGAGACTCCAGCAGTTGGTGAAAATGTAGCGAAATCTACATGCAACAGAACGAACGCCTTTCCAGGGGTTAACCGTCTCTTTTGTAACTCCGGAAGGCTGTCAAGATAGCCTTCTGTAAAGAAAGACTGGGGCCATTTACGAGGTGGCAGCCTCTCGGAAGCTTTACATCTTGGATCTCTTCGAATCCTGCGTTTGCTAACTCTTCCACTTTGAATGAAGAGCAACTTTTCGAACCCGGGTATCCCGTCAAGAAACTCCACAACATCGTTCAAATATTGATGACGGAACGGAAGGTTTTTCGTGAACTTGACTGCTTCCTCTATCGTTCCAGCACCAATGGTAACCACTTTATCAACCCCATCTTCGTCTTCCGACATCCCTCCAGGTCGCATCTTGGTGACCAGCCGTAGAAGATAGCGAAAGAAGTGAACTCCGTCAACATAACCCCGTTGTTCACAAGCCTGTATCATTACAGCGCAAACTTCACTGCGGGTTTGCCACTTCTGCTAGATTCAATAAGCAATAGACTGAGTCTGGGAGACATGAACACGTACCGCATGCCGGAAGCCCGTCTCACCATTCTTTTGATTCCGAAGCAGATGTGCATCGAGTATTCGCTGTTCAATCTGTCCCGGGGATTCCAACTCTCCATGCTTGATGCGAGGTTTACTTTTAATCACAGCCAAGTAGATGCGGTAAAGGCGTTCTGACAAAAGACTGAGCCAGTCGATGGAGGGCGGAAACCGTTGATCCTTGCTTTCGCTCACAATCTTCTCTGCTAGTTTCACCAGAGCAAGAAGAAGCTCTTGATTCCACAGTGACTCGATCAAATCCTTGGTGGTTGCACCGTTTTTATCAATCATGGTATTGCGAATCTTGGGACCTTTTGCCCCTGGATCTTCAGCAAACGCACGCAATCGCTCTTCAGAAACACCAGGGTGAATGAAAGCCTTGTAATTCCTCTGGACCCCCAGCGCTTCGCGAAGAATGGCTCTTCCCAATTTCTATAACGAATACAAAAGTTCAAAACTTATGGGTCAACATGTTGTTGGACTTACATTCAATTCCTGTTTCTGTTTTTCAACTGGCCAATGAACTTTGACACTTTTACGCCTGTACCGAGCGGCAGTATGACTAACATCACTTTCAATAATTTCATCTTCGGAATCAGATGACTCGTCTTCAGAGGAAGTTTCCTCGGAATCTTCAGAGTCGCTTTCAACGGTCGTAGCTCGTTGCTTTCCCTTCTTTCTCTGGTTGATAGAACATTTTCCAGTCCATTCAGAATTTAGATATATATTCCAGCTTACCTGAAAAGTGTGAGTTGCATTGTCGGGGTCCGAGTCCGAGTCGGCAAAGTTGCGACGGTTCACCTTCAAGGAGGAGTAACAAAAAGTGAAAAGCAACATAGTGCAAACACGCACATAAGGTGATGGTCTTTGTGAGACCCAGGGTCCCCGCGGTCCTTTATGTCTGGAGCCACGGGAATCATTCATTGCGGGTTGTCCTTCCGCTGTTGGTCCAGAAGATGAAGACCCTCCACTTGGAGAATCACGAGTAGGTCCCGACGTTGAGTTTGAGGGTCCAGCAGTTCCCGACGTTGAGTTTGAGGGTCCAGTAGTTCCCGACGTTGAGTTTGAGGGTCCAGTAGTTCCCGACGTTGAGTTTGAGGGTCCAGTAGTTCCCGACGTTGAGTTTGAAGGTCCAGAAGCTCCCGAAGTTGAGTTTGAGGGTCCTGTGGCTGGTGTATTCTACGAAAGAGACGAAAATGAGAAGATCGTCATTAATGCATTGGAATGTGACACAGACCAAAGGTTGCCCAAGCTTATACGTTGGATATTGCTTTTTCATATGGCGGATTTCCGCATTAACGTTGACATGGGACAGCGTGCGATTTCGACCGTTCAATGTATATCCAAAAGCTTGGCCGGCACTCTGAGCATGAAACTCACTCTGAATTTAGTCGTGAGATATAGTTTCACCAAAGGGATAGCTCGAGTGTATGTACCTTATAGTGATCTCTCTCGGACTCAAGTTGCGTGATTTGTGCCCGCAGTGACTCGATATCGGGGTCCTGGGACCTCGAGGTCTCGTTTGAGCTCGCCTTCAACTCCATGACTCATCAAGGTAAAGGTAAATGGCCTGAGAACTAACCTTCATCGCATCATGTTCTTTCCTGAGATTTGAGAAATCTTGTTCCAGCGAATTTATTCGTGATTGCCGTTGGGATGCAGTAAGAACTTCTTGTTCGTACAGCTCACGAAATTTTGTAACATCGTCCCGCAGCATACGCTCCTTATCCTAAGCACACAATAAGACAGGCACCCATTGTCCATTATGTGAGGTTACCTTCAAATTATTGCTCTCAAGTTCCAGTTCTTCAATTCGGCTGTTTTGGCGAGGATTTGTGTGCTTCTGCTAAGTGCGTGAGATAAGATATCAAAGTAAGAAATAGTGAAAACATACCTTCAGTAAATTACATTCGTGTGTTAGGTTCTCGACTACTTGCTGTAGAGATGTGATGCGAGCTTGCTTGCTGATGTTGGCGAGGCTTTCCTGGTTGTATTGCTCACTTAACTTGAGCACAGTCGACTCGAGTTCTGTAATCTTTACTGAAGAACTGCTTTGCGAAGCAGCTTCAAGCTCCTGTAACTGCCTGACCTTGGTAGACAAGTTATCCTTTGAAGTAAGATTAATTATTATGCTCCAATCTGTGGTTCCAACCTGTACCGATAGTAACCCACCTGTAATATTGAGTAACTTCTGTTCAAAGAGTCAAAGCGGAACTAGAGATATGTATTAGTATACACCAACATGAAGGTATTATGCTTTGCACCTTTGGAATGCTTTCAGCAAGCTTACTTCGTAGATCTTTAATCATACCCTGATGGATCAATTCTCGACTTCTTTCATTTTCCTGAGACGGGGATGAGCATGAGATATGTGGATGTATATGATAAGGAGCACTTACCACTTGGGCTGTTGCTTCCTGCAGCCTCTTCAGCTCCCCACGTTCGGATTCAGTCAGTTGCTAATAACAAAGGTGATATTTCTGATCGTGATGTTAGATCATTGTACGCACCACACGCATCTCTAGATCCTGCTTGTCTTGTTGGAGAGTTCGGATTTCCTTATTGAGAACC